GATACGCTTTTTGATTTCCTGACTGCTGGTGCCAAGAGTGTTGACTGTGGAGCCGAGCAAACTGAAGCTGTAAACAATCTCAATCTCTTCGCCATCTATCATGATGCTACCAATTGGTCCGTCCAGTGGTGAGAATCTTTGTCTTCTTAACATTGAGCCTCAGTCCATACTGAAGGCTGCATTCCTTGACGCTCTGCAGCAAGTGCATGAGGTCCTCCTCAGTTTCAGCAAGCAGGGTTGTGTCATCTGCATAACTCCAGTAGGTTAGAGGCTATAAATTCTACAAGAGAAGATTGCCCATCTTTCTCCTGTGGAGCCACACACTTTTGGGTTGGCAGTGAAACTCCTTACCACTAAACCACCAGAGATCCCATAGTAACTATAGAGGTTGGGAGTTATAAGACATATCACAAAATAGAAGATATTTACAAAATGGAGGACAATCACACAATACTGGGGATCATGGCCTAGCCAATTTCACACGTATTTTGGGGGAACATAATTCAATCCATGCTACTGTGGATCATTTATAGTATGGCTAAGTATTTTATTAAGTTTTTCACGTCCCCTCCCCCCTTATTTAATATGAACAACTTTCTCATCCAGCTCATAGTGACCCGATAGGTTGGAGTTGAACTGCCACATAGAGGCAGTATGAATCGGAATTAACTTGACTATGGTTTGGGGGTTTTAATAACTTTATATCATACCTGTTTAAAGGGAGCACAAGTGCCCTAGTGGGTAAGGCATTATGCTGCTAAATCAAAGGCATTTGGTTCGAATCCACTAGCTGCTCCACAGGAGAACAATGGGTAATCTGTGCAGTGTTCAGCCTCTGAAAACCTGGAGAGTCAGCCAAGAGTTGGTTCCAATTCAGTGTCACCTAACAATAACAACAACAACACCCATTTTAAGGGTGGAACCATACCACCTTTAAGTAAAATATATTTTTTAGTAAAAGTATGTTGTTATTGTTATTATTATGGTCAAATTTAAATAAAATGGCATACCCGGCATACCTGTCACATATTATTAGATGGTCAATGAATAGTTATAATGAATGCTAACATTTCCCAAATACAGAATTGCAGAGATGACCCTACTAAGATTCATTTACATAGTCAATATTGTGGCCATGTACCGTGCTAATGATACAGGCCATGGTCTTTGCAATCACTTGTTATGTACCAGAGAGTTGGACAATGACGAGGGACGCTAGGAGGAGAATTGATGCCTTTGAGCTGTGGTGCTGGAGAAGAGTATTGAGTGTACCATGGACTGCTAAGAGAACAAACAGATTTATCCTGGAGAGGGTTAAACCAGGCTGCTCCTTGGAGGCAAGGATTCTGGGGCTTTGTCTAACATACTTTGGACATGTTGTAAGGAGGGACCGGTCCTTGGAGAGGGACATCATGCTTGGTAGGGTGGAGGGACAGCACAGGAGGGGAAGGCCCTCTATGAGGTGGATTAATTCAGTGACTGGGGTAATCGGGATGGGTGTGTTGGAGGCAGTGCGATTGGCACAGGATAGAGCAGGGTTTAGGGCTGTGTTCGTAGAGTCGCTATGAGTCGCAATTGACTTGACGGCACATAACAGCAACAAGGCACATAACAGCAACAACCGTACTAAATGGGAGGGAAACAGGAAGAACAGGAAACAGATGGTCTAGCTCTTTAGGAAACTCGCTTTTCAGCCTCAGAAGAGATGTGATGGGGCAAGATTGGGACACATTAAGAATTAAAGAAGAGTAAGAATTAAAGATGAGTAAGATGGGTTCAATAATGTATACTGTACTGAAACAGAGGAGGGAGAAAACTGTTTAAAAGAGATATGTGACTAGGTATTTCTGTCATCACAGGTGTCTAGAGCGATGGCTCCATGGTGGAGGGGACCTGGGGGAGGGTTTGTAAAACAATGAAAGAATCTTTTCTTTTACTTTTCCATAATTTTTGACTCATGTACTTATAACTTGTTAGTTAAATTTGTGTCTTCTAAGTTGCAACCCCCCCATGATACATCTTCAAGGATATTGTACGGCTAAGCACAATTAATAACAGTGCATCTAAATTCCAAAATCAATCTCCATAATAGTCTATGTGTTTCCTACTGCCAAAGGGGCCCTTTAGAGTAGTGAGAGAAGATCTTCACCCTGAAACCCACAGCGTCCCTTTTCAGCAGGAAGTAGCTAAGAGAATACGCCATCCCCTTTTCCTTATGACTCAGGGTGAAGTCTCTCTCAGGGAGGAGTGATAGGGAATGGCAAAGGACACACTGACAAAGGAGATTAATCAGAACTGACTTTGACAAGCACTGTGGCAATAGGACAATTAAAGCAGACATTCGGATCACGGGGGAAGAAGAACAAACTGGAGAGGAGGGTAGAGAGAATGGTGCAGCAATGAAGGAATGAAAACCCAAAATCCCTGTAAATGTTCATTAAAATTAATAAAATTTAATAATAAAAAAAAGAATTAAAGAAGAAATATCTTCTAGAGTGATACCTGAAAATTAAGTTGGAAATGAGAATGGGGAAGAAAGGCAGCTGCAGCAGCGAAAAGTGTAGAGAGCAAAGAATACAGGCTAAATTTTAGGAAATTAGAACAGCTTCCTGTGTAGATTTTCAGTAAACATGAAGTGGTGAGGCTTGGAAAGGAGGGCAGTTGCCATATTCTGAAAGCCTTTGTGCAAAAAGGAGACTGGCTGGCATAAAGGCAGCTGCCTTTCACTTTCAGTAACTGATTCTCATGGAGTTGGGAACGCCCCACCTTCCCTGTACCTACTTCTACCAGTTTCTAACACCTGCTGTCCCTCCCAGGAATCTCACAGCTATGCTTCTGGTCCATCAGTTTGTTGCAATGGCCACACAACTGATAAAACCATACTCGTGTTTATGGAGTTTATTAAGGAAGTTAATAGGCTATATAATTCAGGTTGGAAACAGGACACAATTATTTAGTCAGGACAGCTTCTCAAGCATGTTAGAAGGGCTTCTGACCTTTGGCCTCAGGGCAGTGTTACGAAGCTCTCTTAGTCTGGCCAATTATGGCATTGCCCTCCCTCAGTCCTCTAGCAAGCTTGGGCAAAGGTCCCCTGGCTCTGGCTCCAGGGTAGCAATCCCAGGCCACCTCTGTCTCACTTCAGTCTCTGGTCTCCACTGCTGCTGCTGCTATGGCATTTCATCCTCTGGTCTGTCTCTGTCCTGTGCAGGAATCTCTGTGGCCCTAAAGAACACATGCTACACTCTTTACTACTTTCTTGTTTGTAATGAGATTCCTGTGTCCTACCTCTAAATGTGCTCAGCTTAAGGTCTGGCCCCTAACCAGTCCACTTACTGCATGTTCCCACCCAGAAGGTACTATTCATCTCACTCACATCATGAGCATAGCTCCGTTCAGCCATGTGGCAAAATTTGAAGCCAGTGGACAAGGAGAGCCACTTGGAAAAATAAACCCACTACACTAGTTTATAAGCACCTTTCTAAGAATGTATTTATGCTTATCTTCATGACGTTGAGAAGCCTCTGAATGGTTCTTATACAACAGTGACATGATTTTTTTTTAACAGTGACATGATTTTAAAACACTGCTATATCTAAAATGTGGATAATGATGATTATAGTGGCTTTGCATACATGCTCTTATTTAATCTGTACATTAAGACATTGAGGTTTTATGGATGAAGAACTTGAGCTTGAAGCACTTCACTCAAAATGTCACACATATAATAGGAAGTGGAATCACAGACTTGTGTCTTCTATGACTGTAAAGCTGTATTGCTTTCTGTTAGCAGTGAGTTGTTGTGGCCTGCTTCATGTTGAATTTGTAGAAAATTGTTTCTCATTCTTATCATGGTATTGGCACAGTCTATGTGTACAGTGCACCATAGTCTTTTTTATGAGATCTCAGCAAAGCCTCCAAATTATGTGCTGTTGTCCCACTTTTAAAGTTAAGAAAACTGAGATGGTCCAAGACCCAAACAACTAAAAAGTGGTGCAACTGGAACTTGAACAAAAAGCTCTCCATAGCAGACCTTGCCTTCATAAGAATATACCCTACCTCTTTTTTGGGTCTGTGTTCTGTGGTGGTGATATGAATGTTTATAACATTCTTTCTTCTAGGTTTTGGTGATCACATTCATTGGAGGACACTAGAAGATGGGAAGAAAGAAGCAGCTGCCAGGTACGAAATAGGATTCTAGGTCACTGAGGTGTTAAAACATTTTTAATCATCAATTCAATCTTAATTTTAGGTGAAAAAAATGCAGTGCAGAGCAAGAAGTTGCCTGATAACAATGACCACAATAAATGTTAAAGGGTTGTGTTACTTTTTTGAGTGAAAGTTTACAAAACATACGGTATTTTCATGCATTCATAGACATTTTTTATAACATTAATTAAAATGGATTGATTAATTAATTATGATATACAGTCAAACAAGGGAACTCTGGTGGCCCTACTGGTAAGGAGTTAACACCGCCAACATAAAGGCGGATGATTTGAGTCCACCTGCAGCTCTATAGGAGAGAGCTGGGTAATCTCCTCCAGTGTAATTTACTGGAGGCCAGCTATGAGTCATTTCTGACTCCAGGGCACATAACAACAATAAATTAAACAACAGTAAGTGTACTGTTATCATTAGATGTTGCTGTTGTTAGGTGTTGTTAAGGTATCCATGAGTGAGCTCTGATTCATAGTAAATGGAACAAAATGTTGCCCAATCCTGTTCCTTCTATACAGTTGTTACTGTGTTTGAACCCATTGTGTAACCACTGTGTCACTCCACCTCACTGAGGGTGACTTTTTTTATTTTACCCTCTACTTCACCAAATACCGTGGCTCTCACCAGTGATTGATCCCTCCTGATGAAATGTTCAAAGTAAGGGAGAAAAAAAATTTCACTGTCCTCATGATGACAATAATAGCAGTCAATAATTACTAAGTTCTTACTATGCACCACATTAATATAAACCCTTTATATGAGCAAACTAATTTATTATTTCTCACAACAGTGCTTTGAGGTGAGTACTGTTGTTATTTTCCTTTTGGAGATGAAGAAATTAAGGCAAAAAGCAGTGTGTCTGAAGTCACACAACTAGGAAGTGGTAGAGACAAGATTCAGACCAGGCGTTCTGGCTTCAGACCTGTGCTCTGAATCAAGATACCATACTACTAGTCTCAAGCTGAACAGGTTGGTTTAATTTATGCACAGAAAACTCATAAAAGAGAAGGAAAAGGCAGGAAAGAGAAGAGAAAGGTGTTTGTTTGTTTTATTGAGATTTTAATGAAAGATTATAGAGAACTTGGATTTCCATTCATCATTGTTACATATTTTCCTCCCTGCCCACACCTCCCCACACCACCCAGTTGCTTTTCAGTTTGAGAAGAAAAACCCCCAGTCTACTTTACTATACAGCTCTTATTCTAGACTCTTGCCAAACAAATAATACCTAATCATATATCCCTTTTAAACATTTCTCTCCCTCATCAGTTAAAATGCAGTGAACATTATTTTTCCCCTCTTTTTTTAGTTTCCCCCCAAACCTGATGTCAGTCCTGTTTTATAATAGTGGCATAATGCAGTATTTGTCCTTTTGTGATTGAGATATTTCATTCAACATAGTGTCCTCCAGGATCACCCATTTTGTATAATATTTCATTAATTCCTTATTTTTTAATGCTGTATAGTATTCCATTGGGTGAACTTACCACAGTTTCTCTACCCATTTGTTTGTTGATGGGCACTTGGGTTGTTTTCAACTCTTTGCTGTTGTGAACAAAGCAGCAATAAACATAGGTGTCCATATATCTGCTTGGGTGGCAATTCTGGTTTCTTTAGGATATATTCCCAGTAGTGGAATTGCTGGGTCAAATGGTGTTTCTGTTTCCAACTTTTTGAGAAAGCGCCATACTGCCTTCCATAGTGGTTGCACCATTTTACACTCCCACCAACAGTGAATAAGGTTTCCAGTTTCTCTGTAACCTCGCCAGCATTTGTTTGCTGCTCTGTTGAATTTTGTTATTCTTACTGAGGTGAGATAATATCTCATAGTTGTTTTGATTTGCATCTATCTTAGAGCTAGAGATTTTGAACATTTCTTCATGTGTTTGTTGGCATTCTGAATGTCTTGTTTGGTGAAGTGGCTGTTCATATCTTGTGCCCATTTTTCTATTGTGTTGTTTACCTTTATCTTATTGTGGTATGAGAGAAGGTTTTTAAGACTTTTATATTTTAAGTTGTAAAATGAAATTTCTGCTAACAGTTTGATTGTGGAATGACATTATCTGTAGCTTTTAGATTTGTGGACAAGATTAACCTATGAGTTTGACTTTTCCAAGGATTTTGGAGGTTCTCTCTCGGCATCAACTATTCTTACCTGACCATTGAAGATAGGGAAGCTAGGGTATAGACCATGCCACAAAGTTGAGTAGCAAAGTTGTTGACTAGTATCTGAGAAAAAAAAACCCACAAAAAAAAATCGCAAATATGTCCCTTTGGTGCTGGCCCTTGGATTTGGGCTACAAAGATGAGGCTAACATGAGAAAATTGAACTTAGTTCCCTTAAATGGTCTTTAATATCTGGCACTTGGTCTTCCTTAGAATCTGTAACTGTGTTAATCATTCCACATAGAATAAGAATTTACAGTCCTAGATTTTAATACATACAACTTTATGAAAGCTGTTTTGACTTAAAATTGTCAAGTCCTCCAGCAATTTATTCTCCATAGGTTGCAAATCTTCAAGGCTCAGAAACTATTTCTTTGCACATATTTGTCAACTAACTATTCACTAATTCTTTTACTTCATGTAAGATGCCTTGTCAAGAATTAATGGGAGACTCATATATGACCATTACTCTCTTAGAAATGCTCTTAATGGTATGTATAGCACCAAGATAAACTGACATTATTCCATAAGAGAAAGGAGAATAATGTGCTCTGGAAACTTGACAGAGATAATGTACTACCAGCCAGCAAGATCAGTTGAATCATGGGAGTCTCCAGATTTCTTGTTCTAGCTCTCAAGTCTCCGATGTACTTAGGTTTTTATTGCCGTGAGTGGATTTTAGGTTTCAGAACAATATCATTAATATGACATTCAAGTAAGAAGAATCTGCTGAAACTGATCCGAAAATGACTGTAACAGCACATCAACAGAAAACTGCCAGATATGCAGGCTGGGTTTAGAAGAGGTTGTGGCACTAGATACATTATTGCCAGTGTCAGATGGATCTTGGCTGAAAGCATAGAGCACCAGAAGAATGTCTGTGTTTCATTGACTATGAAAAGGCGTTTGACTGTATCACAACAAATTGTGGCTAACTCTGAGAAGAATGAGAATACCAGAACACTTAATTGTGCTTATGTGAAACGGGTCCTTGGACCAGATGGCAGTGTCAGAACAGAGCAAGGAAATACTACATGGTTCAAAACTGGGAAGGGTGTATGCCTATCTCCATATTCTTTTCAATCTGTATGCAGAACAGATCATCTGGGAGGCTGTCTCAATGAGAAGAAATGTAGCATTAGGATGGTAGGAAGACTCATCAACAGTCTTATGCAAATTACACAACCTTGCTTGCTGAAACTGAGGAGGACCTGAAGTGCTAGTTGCAGAAGGTCGAGGACTGTAGTCTTCAATATGGACTGAAGCTCAATATCACAAAGATTCTCACCACTGGGTCAACTGGCAGCATCATGATAGATGGTGAAGAGATTGAGATTGTTTACAGCTTTAGTTTGCTTACTCCACAATCCACTTTTGGCACCAACAGTCAGGAAATTAAAAGACAAATTGTATTGGGAAAGTCTGCTGTCAGGGACATCTAGAGTACTGAAAAGCAGTGATGTAAGTCTAGAGCACCTGATCCAGGCCATGGTCTTTGCAATTACTTGTTATGCATCAGAAAGCTGAACAATGACTAGGGATGATGGAAGGGAAATTGATGCCTTTTGAGCTGTGGTGCTGGAGAAGAGTATTGAATATATCAAGGACTGCTAGAAAAGCAAGCAGTTCATCCTAGAGAGGGTGAAATCAGCTGCTTCTTGGAGGCAAGGATTCTGGAGCTACATCTGACATACTTTGGGCATGTTACAAGGAAGGACCAATCCCTAGAGAGAGACATCATGCTTGGGAGGCTGGAGAGACCCTCAATGAGATGGATTGACTCAGTGACTGGGTTTAATGGGGGGGGGGGTCAGAGACTATAAGGTCAGCTCAGGATAGAGCAGGGTTCACAGCTGTTGGACATAGGGTCATTAGGAATCACAGGTGACTCGATGGCACATAATATTTCCAACTGGGGGGAGGGGTTTGTGCGGGGAGAAGGGTGCAACAATGAATGAATAGAATTCCAAAATCTCTGTAGATGTTCATTGAAATTAAAAAATAAACAACCTAAATTAAAAAACAAAAACAAAACAAAACAAAAAGCAAACAAAAACCAATATTTCCAAACATATGAAAACTAGGGGAGCTCAGGTGGCCTAGTGGCAAGAAGCTGCACTGCAATCCCAGAGGTACGTGGTTTGAATCCGCCAGATGCTCTACTGAAGAAGGACGGGCAATCTCCTCCTATACAGTCAGATCTGATTTGATGGTACACACACACAAAAAAAATAAAAATAATACAAACAAACAAACCCCGGTATGCACCAAGTATATGAAAACTTGCAGGGCAACAATGATAATGAATTTTATATATTTATTTATTTATTTATATGGCGAGAAAAATTTTTCTTTAAAATTAGCACCTGGACTCAGTTAAGATGATCTCAATTTTCTTGGCAAGATATAAAGCATCATAGTCAAGAACAAGCAAACATAGGCCTTCTTCTCTCCATCAGGCCTAATCAAGGTATTGACCTTGGGTATATTAATGTCACAGAGCTTCTTTACAGCTTGTTTGATTTGGTGCTTATTGGCCTTGACATCCACAATGAACACAAGTATGTTGTTAATCTGTCTTCTTCATGGCTGACTCCAGTGGTCAGGGGAAACTTGATGATGGCATAGTGGTCAAGCTTGTTACTCCTGGGGGTGCTCTTCCAGGGGTATTTGGGCTACCTTTGGAGTCTCAACATCTTTGGCTGCTGGAAGGTGGGTGACATGCAGATCTTCTTTTTTGGGGGGGATGAGGGGACTGTGGATCCCCTTTAGGACTGCCATCTTGGCCTTTAACACCTTTGCTTTGGCTTTAGTTTTGGGAGGGGACTGACTTCTTTGCATTTGGCACTATCTTCCTAGAAAGGCAAATGTTTTATTGTTGACTGAGTCTTGGGCTCTACGGTCTGTTTGCTCAGAACTTTGGCTGTCCCAGATTTCTAATTAAGCAGCGAGAACTTAGACATTTCTGGCTTGAAGACTGGTGAAGTGGCACATTGCAACATGCTTCAAGATCAATAATGAAAGTATTATTAATAAAAGCAAATATTATCATTTCTTGAGCATTTATTATTTTCAGGCATGGTGTTAAGTAAAAAATGTGCTATCTCATTTTTTAATGAAAATGCGTTGTCTCATTTAATATGTATTAACTGTATCTTATAACTGAGGAAACATGGCATCAGGTAGGTAATGTAATTTTCTCACAGTTACATGGATAGTAGGTGGTGAGAGAAGGAAATCAAAGTACATCTTTACATCTTGAAAATCAGTCTATTTCATTCTTAATGCTGCCATTCTATAATACATCATCATAATTGAATGTTTTAAGTGATAATAAGTTAGGGAAATACTTTTGTTGGCTTTATTAGGTAATTGCCATCAATATTCTATTCAGTTTGTATGTGCAGAGCTAACACAGTTGGACATGACAGGATTTTAAAATATGAAGAACAGGAAATTGAGGCTCCATAAATGAATTAATTTTACTGTAATTACATTGTCAGTAAATAAATGGCAGAGCCAAGACTTGAATATCTTTTATTGTAATAGAGGGACTGTTCCACCTGCAAAATATGTGCACCTATCTTATATAGTGGTTAAGGAATTGAGCTGCCAACTCATCGGTGAGAGATTCAAACTTACTGGTGGCTCCACAAGAGAAAGCTATGATCCTCTTCTAACTCAATGGCAATAAGTGTCAGATGTTTTGGGTTTTTTTTTTTTTTAAATCTTGTGTTCTATAAATTAGGATCAACTAAGTGATCTATAATTATCTTATATACACACATGCTTGTACAGAAGCACTCATTTCTGCTTTTATCAAACTATAGTGCTTGCTATTTCTAGAACAGATTATACAGTTTCATGGTTCTGGAGAGTATACTTTCCCCAGAAGTAGGATTGCCAGATTTCATAAGTACAAATAAAAGGCATCTTGTTAACTTTGAGATCACTGGTAACCTAATGGGTAAGGAGCTGCCTTGCCAATCCAAAAGCATGTGGTTCAAATCCACCAACTACTCCATTGGAGAAAGTTGGACAGTCTCCTCCCATGCAGTTTACTGATTCTGAAAGCCTCAAAGGTTAACTATGGATTGGTTTCAACTCAGCAGTAAATAACCACAGCCAAAACAGTTAAATATTGACCATCAGGTCTCTCTATGCACCTTAATAAATGAATGGGCAGTCTTTGGCTGAAAGAACTGAAGAACAAATTCAACTCGTGAGTTGAATAACTAGAGGATTCTATGAGCAAAACCCTGAATGATGCAGAAAATATCAAAAGAAGATGGAGGGAATACACCGAGTCACTGTATCAAAAAGAATTCATCAACATCAAACCCTTTGTGGAAGTAGCAGTGGTAATGAAGGAAGAAGTTCAAGCTGCACTGAAGGGAAAAAATAAGGTTCTAGGAACTGATGGAATATCAGGTGATGAGTTGCAAGAAACAAATGCAATCTTGGACATTCTCTTTAGCCTTTCCCAAAAAATTTGGAAGACAACTACCTGACCAGCTAACTTGAAGAAATCCGTATTTGTTCGATTCTAAAAAAAGGTGACCCACTGCAATCCCAGAGGTACACGGTTCAAATCCACCAAATGCTCTGCTGGAGGAGGAGGGGCAATCTCCTCCTGTGCCAGTCAGATAAGATTTGATGATGTTGTTGTTGTTATGTGCCATCGAGTCGTTTCCGACTCATAGCGACCCTATGCACAACAGCTCTAAACCCTGCTCTATCCTGCGCCAACCGCACCGCCTCTGACACACCCATCCCGATTACCCCAGTCACTGAATCAATCCATCTCATAGAGGGTCTTCCCCTCCTGCGCTGTCCCTCCACCCTCCCAAGCATGATGTCCCTCTCCAAGGACCCGTCCCTCCTGGCAACATGTCCAAAGTATGTCAGACGAAGCCCCAGAATCCTTGCCTCCAAGGAGCAGCTTGGTTTAATCCTCTCCAAGATGGATCTGTTTGTTTTCCTGGCAGTCCAGGGTACATTCAGTACCCTTCTCCAGCACCACAGCTCAAAAGCATCCACTCTCCTTCTGTCCTCCCTAGTCATTGTCCAACTCTCTGATGCATAACAAGCGATTGCAAAGACCATGACCTGTATCAGGCGCACCTTAGTCTCCAGAGAGACACTGTTGCTCCTGAGTACCTTTGAGAGGTCCCTAACGGCAGACTTTCCCATCGCGATACGCTTTTTGATTTCCTGACTGCTGGTACCAAGAGTGTTAACTGTGGAGCCGAGCAAAGTGAAGCTGTGAACACTCTCAATCTCTTCATCATCCATCCTGACGCTGCCAATTGGTCCAGTGGTGAGAATCTTTGTCTTCTTGACGTTGAGCCTTAGTCCATACTGAAGGATTTGATGATACACACACAAAAATAATAAAATAAATGTTAAAAAAAATCCACCATGAAGAAAAGGTGATCCAACAGAATGCGGAAGTTATCAAGCAATATTATTCATATCACATGCAAGTAAAATCTTGCTAAAGATAATTAAAAATTGCTGGAACAACAACAAATGGCTGGAACAAGTGCATCAATAGTGAACTGTGAGAAATTCAAGCTAGATTCTGAAGAAGCCAGGGAATAAGGGACATCATTGCTGATGTCGAACAGATCTTAATGGAAAGCATAGAATAAATACCAGCAAGATGTTCTATTTTATTGGCTATGCAAAGACATTTGTGTGGGTAATAACCAATTATGAATGACATTGAGAAGGATGGCAATTCCAAAACATTTAATTATGTTTGTGAAACTTTTACATACACCAAGATTAGTTGTCTGAAGAGAACAATAGTGCATAGTTCAAAATCAAGAACGGAGTGCCTCAGGGTTGTACCTTTCTACATACTTCCTAAGTCTATGCTAAAAAAATAATTCAGGAAGCTTGACTTTATAAAGAAGAATGTGACATCAGTTTCGGTGGAAGATTAATCAACTTGTGTTATGCAGACAACACAGCTTTTCTTGCAGAAAGTGAACACTTGTTACCACAGAAGATCAAAGACTTAGTTGTTGTGTTGTCACGTCAGAACTGACCCTTAGTTGACTCCCCAGCAGCTTTTCAGTAGCTCACACAGGAGGAGACTGCCTATCGTTTTCCTGTGGAGCTGCTGGTGGATTTGAACTACATGCCTTCGTGTTGGCAGCACAACTTCTTACCACTAGGCTATCAAGCTCCCTACAATATGGAAAACAAAAAGTCTTCACCACTGGCCCAATAGGCAACACTCCATAATAAATGGAGAAAATATTGAAGTCAACAATTTTATTTTCCTTGAATCCAGGGTAGTTGTAGCAGCCAAGACATGTTGCATTGGGAAAATTTTATGTCAAGGGCCTCTTTAAAGTGATAGGGGGAAAAAGAAATTAAAGTGATGGTAAGAATGCCAGTTTAATGACCAAGTTACACCTGATCCAAGCCATGGTATTTTCAGTTGCTTCCTGTGCGTCTCAAAGTTGGACAATGAGTGAAAAATTACTAAAGAGGACTAGATTCCATTGAATCGCGGTGTTAGAATATGAGTGTTTAATGGACTGCCAAAACCCAGACGTTTGTCTTGGAAGAAGTGCAACCAGGGTGCTCCCACGAGGCAAGGACAGTGAAACTTTGTCTCACATATTTTGAACACATTATAAGGAGGGAGGAGTCCTTGAGAAAAGACATAGGTGCAAGAGTAGAGAAAGTCAACAAATTGAATTAACATGGTGATTTTTTTAAAAAAATATTTAAACAGTGATTTTAACATTGTGCTAGAGCGTGCTAAAGATTAGGATAGCAATGAAAGGCAAGGTTCAAAAGATAGTGATGAAACTGGAGGGCACGTAACAGCAGTCTTTTGCCACAATACGATCAAAAAGGTCATTTGACACAAAAAGCTGCTGGCAGGCAGGACCTATCGGAAGAAACTGGACGTGATCCCAATTAACAAGTGAACTGTTTCCACAGGAGAAGTCCGTCAGGAGCCGGAAGTAGGGTTAGCACTTCCGGTGTGCTCCGGTACGCGGAGTAACCCGGAAGTTTAAGCAAGCTGATTGTACATGGCCGTATCCTGCGAGAATGCCGTTGGTCGTGTTTTGCGGGTTGCCGTACAGCGGCAAAAGCCGGCGCGCGGAGGAGCTTCGTGGCGCTCTCGTGGCCGAGGGCCGGACAGTGTACCTCGTGGACGACGCGGCAGTGCTGGGAGCGGAGGACGCGATGGTGTATGGCGACTCGACCCGTGAGAAGGCGTTGCGCGGGGCGCTGCGAGCCGCGGTGGAGCGGCGCCTAAGTCGCCAAGATGTGGTCATCCTCGATTCGCTTAACTACATTAAGGGATTCCGGTACGAGCTCTACTGCCTGGCACGGGCAGCGCGCACCCCTCTCTGCCTGGTTTACTGTGTGCGACCCTGCTGGCCAAAAGGAGGACCTCCGGAGCCGGGCGAGGGGGAGTCTGAAAGCCGGAACCTGAACGTGAGCTGGAGGCCTCGCAGAGAAGATGGGCGGAGAGCTCAGGTGAGGGGTGCTGGTGTTGGAGAACCACAAGCGGCCGGCTCTGAAATAAATGGGAGATCCCAGGCTGAGGCGCCTAAAGAACAGGAGTCAGAGGGCCGAACCAGGACACTACCAGAGTCTCCAACCCTTTTGGCTACAGAATGCGAGAAATCCGCAGAGCATGTTCCCAGAACTTTTTATCCTACTGAACTTCTGGAGGCCTTAAGTCTGCGATTCGAGGCTCCCGACTCTCGGAACCGCTGGGACCGCCCCCTGTTCACCCTGGTGGGCTTTGAGGAGCCGTTGCCTTTGGCGGAGATCCGGGCTGCGTTGTTTGAGAACCGAGCTCCTCCACCCCATCAAGCCACACAGTCTCAGCCCCTTGCCTCCGGCAGCTTTCTGCATCAGTTAGACCAGATCACTAACCAGGTGTTGGTAGGGCTGCTGGATGCCCAAAAGAACGCTGTCCCAGGGGATTTGCTAACGCTTCCTGGCACCACAGAGAGCCTGCGCTTTACCCGTCCCCTTACCATGGCAGAACTGACCCGCCTCAGACGCCAGTTTATTTCCTACACCAAAATGCACCCTAACAACGAGAACCTCCCTCAGCTAGCCAATATGTTCCTGCAGTATCTAAGCCAGAGCTTGAACTAAACAAGTGAGAAAATCATGACTCCTGTCTTCTGCTCGCTTTCTCCAGGAAGAGTAATCTTTACATCAGCAGAGCCTTTTTATTTTTTATGCCAGTAACTATAACACATTGCTAACTAAATGGAACCTGGTGACCCTCCAAGGGTTTTCAGAATCGGCGAGAGAGGAGATTGCCCAACTCTCTTCTGAATTGCAGCTGGTGGATTTGAACTACCACAGAGAAGCCCCTTTGGGTTAGCTGCACAGTACTCCATGGACTATGCTTCTGGGCTGTTAAGATGTATAATATTTTTTTAGAAAAAGAGAAAGATGTATAATAGTGAACATTCTTGGCTGCTTCTGCCAGACCTTGTGTGTATAACCTAAGCTGGGAGAAGACAAACTAGAGAACTAGCTTTGAGGCTCCTGGCAGATTCTTCCAAACAACAGGTAGATAGGGATTGCTTATTTTGGGTGCTTTGGGGAAACCCTTACATTTCCCCCATCTGAGTTGTGGAAGAGTAGTGGATGGTTATTTGAGACAGTTGTGAATAAAAAAGTGACAAACTGTAAATGCCTTTTTCATGACAATGAAACAGGCCCTTTATATGCCATAAATATACCTGCTTTGTGCGAATTGGCATCACAGGTGTATCCATTAGTTTTCTGTATCCACTAGAGTACACCTAAAAATAGAGCATATTTATGAAACCTTTTATAAACCAAAGTATTTCAGGGAAGAAGTAATAGTTTATGTGTGAAAAATTGCTAAGCTTTTCAATTCCTTCCAAAATATCCTACCAGATAAAACATGAGCTTTAAAAAAATCACTAATACAGTAGTGTTCACAAACACAGGCCAAGGCTATGGCTCCTTTTCACTAAAATGCTGAGTGTAGTTCTCGAGGGAGGAGCTTGGTAATGCCATATGCTCTTCCAAATGGGTGCTTCCCCCCTTTTACTGGCTTGCTGTGAAATAAGTACAGAACCCTTTTATTTTTAAGTGAAAATATTCCAGAATTGGCTCTAATGAGTGTTTTTATAAAAACAGCGGTGTAAAGCAGTCTTTTAAAAAGCAGGGTACAACTGTGCTTTCTCAATAAAATCTTTTAAACTAAAAAAGTCTTCTGGCATCTCTTCAGTATAGTTTTTTGTTTATTTAACTACTAAAGGTTAAACTAGCCATCGTATGTATGTTTGATGCTTTAGATAAGTATGTATCATCCTTATGCCTTTTGCCTGAAGTAGTGCTTTGATAATATGCTTGACAGACTGAATTGTTTGGTCTGATCCAGAGTGATTATATTGTGATAACAACCATGTTTTATACCACATTTCTAGGCCAATATTACTTTAGGTTTGTTTCCTTCATTTGTTTAAATGGGGGGTGGTTATTTGCCATCCAGTTGCCTACAACAATAGCTGAAGCCAGTCTCACTGACTTTGACATACATACCCCTGTTGCCCCAGTTATCAATCCATCTCATCCTCAGTCTTCCTCTCTACACTGCCCCTTTACTAATGTCTTATTTGGTGAGGCTGCTAAGAGAACAAGTCCATCCAGAAGAGGGTGAAATCATGATGCTCCTTGGAAGCAAGGATTCTGAAGCTCTGTCTGACATACTTTGGGCATGTTGCAAGGAGGGACCAGTCCTTGAAGAGGGACATCATGCTTGGAAGGGTGGAGGAATAGCGCAGGAGATAGGGGGTAGGTGTGTCAGAGACAATAAAACTGTCTCAAGATAGAGCAAGATTCAGAGCTGTTGTACATAGGGTTGCTATGTGTTGGAGTCGAAGACATAATTTGGTGAGAAAACTAGGTGATTGTACAGAGTGAAAAGGTTGATGATGACAGCTTTAGAAGCTTAGAAGAGGAAAGAACCTGGATTTCACAGAGAAGTTTATGTATTATAATTTAGTAACTGGCAGTGCTCTTATCAGTTATCAGTACTGTTATCAGTATTAAAGGTAAATTTCAGACTATAGCAATAAAGCAAGTCATCACATGATGTATGCAATATATATTGTTATGTAGCCTAGAGTCAGAACTGACTCATAGCTGACCCTCCAGCCGGTTTCCAGAGGCAATAATACTATGGAACTCATGAAATATTATGCAAAATGGATGACCCTGGAGGACATTATGCCGAGTGAATATTTCAGTTACAAAAGAAGAAATATTGCATAGGGCCACTGTTAAATGGGACTGCCATCAGGGTTGAGGGAAGACAGAGTAGGAGGGAGGAATGATATATACTGCATTGAAACAGATGAGGGAGAGAACTGTTTAAAAAGGATATATGAGGGATCTCCGGTGGCCTAGTGGCAAGAAGCTGCACTGCAGTCTCAGAGGTGTGCAGTTAGAATCCACCAGATGCTCTGCTGGAGAAGGAGGGACAATCTCCTCCTGTACCAGTCAGATCCAATTTGATGGTACACACACACACAAACTTAAAAAAAAGGATATATGATTGGGTATTATTGACAGGAGTCCAAAATGAAGGCTGCACAGTGGAGTGGACTTGGGGGGGAAGGATTGCATAACAATGACAGAGTTTTACTTTTCAAAGAGAATGAAGTGGAGGGGGTGAGATGGACGGGGAGTAAAGTGCAACAATGAATGATTGGAAACCCTATGTCTCTGTAAACTTTCATTAACATTAATTTTAAAAAACCATAAAAGTCAGGTAATGATAGGGTTTTTTCTTTTCAATGATTATGTAAGTGAATGACAAGTTCTAGAAACATGTCTTGATATTCTGTGCCAGAATCTTCAAGCTTTGCAAGAAGAAGTCAATTTGGTGGAATATTTTGTTATGATAATCTGTTACTAACTGAATAGTTGGGTTTAAGATTTTCCAAAATAAAATCATATTACATCTTACATATGAATCTTTGTCTCTATAAAACAGTCATTTTATTAGACTAGATTTTGAGAAATGGAGTTGTTAGATTATGATTTTTATTTGTTTGTTTTTAAGTGGATTACCATTGATGGTGATTATACATAAATCCTGGTGTGGAGCTTGCAAAGGTAAGTACAAGTGCTTAATCTGAAATCAAGTCTCAGATGTCTTCTCAAATAAGAGTTAACAAATACCGTCATTGACCCAGCCTTGTTGATTATTTTGAAAGGATAGGGAGGAAAATATGCAACAATGAATGAATGGAAATTCAAGTTTTATATAAACTTTCATTGAAATATCAGTAAGAAATTAAAAGTAATTGAAACAAAGGTTTGCCCATACTCAGGAACTTTGCAGTTTTGTTTTAGGGGTTCATAGGGTGGTGAAGCAATTAAGGTACAATTAGAGTGTGAGATGAAGTGCGAAAATATATGTATGGTCAATAGATATTAAAGGAAGTTGAAATCCTGTCCAGATAGATGAAAAGACCTTAGAAAAGTTTTCCTGGAGGAGGTGAGACTTAAGTTAGACACCAAGTTTATTTGACTCTGGAGCATGTCTTCTTTCTGCTATATCATCTTTTCTAGTCAGGTTTACAATCTTGATTGGAAAAAGTACAAATCTAGTAAAAGTGGTTATTAATAGCATATTACTGGTACTGGGGTGTGTTGGGGTTTTTTTCTATTCTACTGAAGTTACTGAAATACATAAAAAAGCAAATGGTTGGGTGGTTTTGTTTTTTATATACCATTTGTGTCTGTGTGTAATTTTAATGGAAATTTTTATAAAGTTTGGGTTTCCATTCATGCATTGAAGCACATTTTCCTTCCTTCCCCTCTCTTTTTCTTCCTCCTCAGTTCACTTTTTAATGCACTTCTTGTTCCAGACTGTTAATTGTCATACATATAATCATACCATCCTTTCAGACCGTCCTTTCCTTCATCTGTTCCAGTATGGTGTTTATTTTCTATCCACTCTTTTCCAATTTGATTCCCATCCCATGTCAATCCTATTGTATAACAGCAGTGTTATGCAGTATTTGTCCTTTTGTGACTGAGATATTTCTGTCAGCATAATATCTTCCAGGCTTTTCCATATTTGTAATATTTTACAAGTTCATTGTTTTTTAATACTGCAAAATATTCCATTGGGTGAATGAATGTACCACAGGTTTTTCTATCCATTCGTTTGTTGATGGACAATTGGGCTAGTTCCATCTCTTCACCCTTATAAATAATCCAGCAGTAAACATGGGTGTAAATGCATTGGTTTGTGTCACAGCTCTCATTTTTTTTAGAGTATAATTCCAGTAGTAGGCTAGCTGGATCAAATGGTTATTCTATTTCCAACTTTTTGAGAAAGTGCCAGACTGCCTTCCGCAGTGATTTTACCATTTTCTGTTTCCACCAGCAGTGAGTAAGAGTTCCAGTCTCTCCACATGCTCACCAGCATTTGTTGTTTGCTATCCTCTTGAATTTCACTGTTGTTGCTAGGGTGAGATGATAACCTCATTGTTGTCTTGAGTGCTGTTGTTTTTTTTTTTATTTTATAAATGTGGTTAAAGCAGAAGTAATGAAGTAAATCACTCAAGGGCATATTGCTATGCAGGTATCTGAGCAGAAGCAGAATCAAAGTCTTCTAATTATGGAGAAGGAAAAAATGATTCTGTTATGTAAGTCAATTCAACAAGTCCTGCTCATTAGGATTTGGGGTTTTGAAAATGATACTGAGGTTTTCTTCAAATTAAAAATCTTTTCCCCCCCCTCTTTCCTTAGCCTTAAAGCCAAAATTTGCAGAATCTACAGAAATTTCAGAACTTGCCCATAATTTTGTTATGGTAAATCTTGAGGTAAGACTTTGAAAATATCTCTTTTATATTATGATTTGGAGACTTTCCAGTTTTAGAATTAACATCCTTTATGGTATAAAAGCTTTGTTAGCAAGTATAGAAGCACGTATGTGTTCTTCTACTGAGGTGTGTAAAAGATATGTTAGAAGATCATCCAGCATCTTCTTATTAGAGGAAAAAGAGAGATTGAGTGAAGTGAATAAATTTTAAAGTCCCTTCAGCTTTTTTCCTATGGTCATCGCCTATTTTTTATGTTTGTTTAATTAGACAAAAGATATAGTCATGCATGTAGGCTATCAACCCCTGTTAAATTTGGTTTAGAGTACTGATTCTGTGCTAGGCAGATATGTACAACTCTTCCTTTTTTATCATGAGGTAACCTCTATGTACGATAGTACAGTTAGACTATAGGTTTTCACATTCTAATTAAGAATATTAGATCTTAGAATTGGAAGAATTTTATAGCCCATTGGTTCTATCTTAATTTTATGAAAGAACATCTTAGTCCTGACAGAGTTGAGTAATTTGTTTAGGTGTGAGAAGCTCAGGTGTTTTATGATAATACATGTAGCTGTAAGTTACTAAAAAGATGGAGCTCACATAAACATAAAAACACATGAAAAGTTAACACTGAGGCAGCTAAGGGGTTGTTTATCCTGCATACAGATAGACTTCACTCTAGGTAAAGCTGCATTACAATTTAAAAAAAAAAAGAGCCCATTTTAACTCTTCTGTAATACAAACTACGCGATATATTGTAAAATCACAATTCTCTGTAAACATGAACTTACCAATTTTTATATCAACATTAGGAACTTCACACAGGAAACAGAAATAATGTCTTTAGTAAGCATTCTTCACCTTCAGTGCTTTCTTGAAAAAGAAAACTGTCTGTATGGTTGCATCTCCTGGCAAGATTATATGGCTCCATAATTGTACCTAAAATGCCAGTCTCAGCAATTTATTTATTTATTAAATACTCTGTACAAGTCGATGATATAAGCCCTGAGCAGTGAAAAATCAAAATGCATTTAGTAAAAAAAAAAAGAAAAATGCATTTTGTCGTTGAGATTAAAGTAAAATATATGAGATCCTGTTAAGTGCTATGTCTAAAAATGAAGGAACACAGAGATGGTTCACTAGTTTAAATAGGTATTCAAAAAAGAAGGGGAAATTTTAGGAAAGATCTAAGGCAGATAAGGGAGTGAACTGTTGTCTACTGGGGAGGTGTGCACAGGCAGATGGAGAAGTGAGGTAGGAACCTGTCTCACTTGTTTATTAACAAGTAACAACAGGAAGGGCAGTGTGGTTGAAGAGGGAGAGAGTGGCAGACTGTGAAGTTAGAGAAGTCCCCAGGTAGCAGAACATAGAAAGCCTTATAAATTACTACAGGAACTGGGAATTTTACCTTGAGTGGGAAGCTGCTGAAAGCTTTTGATCAGAGAAAGGACACGGTCTAACCAAGGATTTACATTTACTCTTAACAGGATGAAGAGGAGCCCAAAGATGAAGATTTCAGCCCTGATGGGGGTTACATTCCACGGATCCTTTTCCTGGGTAAGGTGCAAGATTTTGATTTGGGAACCCGTGGTGTGGAAGAAAAATGAATCAAAGCACTGACTCTATATAGTGAAACTATTTTAGGATGCCAGGCCCATCAAAATGAGTTACAGGAGAAAATAAGGGGCTTCTCAATGCCAGACTGCAAATTTGAAGAAAAATGTTTCCCAGTAAATACTTTGTCATCAATGACAGAGTGTTATTTATTTACTCCGCAGTCATTTGTGTGACTGCCATATACTAAGTAAGCACTGTATTAGACACCCTACAGGAACAGAGGTAAATCATAATTCCTACACTTGACCTTATTGCCCTCAAGGACAATAGATTAGGCCATAGGATGGATGGTAAAACTAGGCAAATATCTTTGACCAGTTTTTCAGTAGATATTTAATGACCACCTAATCTTTGTTCAATGTTCTACTAGGTTCTGTGTTGTTGTTGACCAAGGGTATAGTACTAATAACGAGGCTAAACACCAAGAATGTATAAATAAACAGAGGTAAAGCAGGAGGCAAACAGTTCCAACAACTGAAGCCAAACCCAGCTTCCCTGTGCCTTTATTGAAAATTGCCAGGGAACAGATCACAAAGAGAATTCTATGCAAATGAAGCTAAGTTCTTTCTATTGAAAACCTTATACTTGACTCAGGAGGGAGGAGTTAGCAAATACAAGAATCCTGTAAATGCTTATGGTTTGCCTTAATGCCTACCCCTGTAAGGTTTGCCTTAGTGCCTACCCCTGTAAGCATCTAAAGTCTAAAGTCCGCCTTAATACTTCAGGGTGAATACCAGCTTGTATCTGCTCCTCCCTCATATCCTGATATAGCACTTGGTTTATTATAAATATTCAGTATGAAATTTGACTTCCTACCGTTGTGTACTATTGAATCAGATCTAATCTAAAGTTGACCTTCGAGAGGTTTTCAGAGGCAGTTAATTTTATGGAAGGAGATTGTTGATTCTTCCCCTATGGAGCAACTGGTAGATTTGAACCATATGCCTTTGGGATTGCTGTGCAGCTTCTTACCTCTAGACTACCAAAGCTCCCTAAATTTTATATGGGAGTACAAATAAAAATATAGGATCCTGCCATCGTGATGCAGAAAAGGAGCATAGAAAGAAGAAATTGCATATACCAAGACATAAGGGCTTAGTCCAGTTAATAAAGTGCCAGTAATGGTGAGATAATGAGTTACAAAGGTGGACAGGCCCCAATTCCAGAGGACTTGGTGTACTGTGTCATGTGTAAAGTGCCTTTTTGTTGTAATTGCTACAGTTCCTTTGACATTTGTCCACATTAGATCCCAGTGGCAAGGTGCATCCAGAAATCATCAATGAGAATGGAAACCCCAGCTACAAGTACTTCTACGTCAATGCTGAGCAAGGTATGGTTAAGTTAAGGAAGATTGCTTCGAGATTGAAATAGGATGGGCCATATGCAAAATCTTATGGCAGGAACCTCACTGTGTGACTAGCTAGATCCTATGTAGGATATAGTAAGAAAAAATAAGACTGAGAGAGTTCCATCAGCAATTTACAGTCCAGCTGGAGACCTCACTGACCTGTAGAGACAGTGAAAAATGGAGACTCACAGATGTAGTCATTTGCTGCCCATGGCCTCCCAGGATTTGAATCCAGAACTTTTATCCTCATTGCAAAAATTCTACTGTTACTGTCAGAGTTTAGAGTAAGGGGAGTTCGAACTGTTAGATGAGCATGTCGTAAGAGTTTTCCTAACTATTATACCTTCTCAGCTGGACCTTCAAGAAGGATTTACCTTTATGGACAGATAGGAGGAGGATATTTCAAGCTGCAGAAGTGGAAAGAGAGGGATTGGGGTCATCCCTACATTGAGAAGTCTAGGCTTGCTTAGAAACAAGGTGATTGATCTAACCAGCAAAAGGCGGTAAAAAATAAGTTCCAGGCAGAGAAAACAGCATTAGCACAGACAGGTGAAGGAAGGGTGAAATCTTGTCAGTTTTCCCTTCCTGTTCTTTAATCCTTGACTATTACCATTACAATCATTTTGGAGGCAGGGATTGGCATCCATGCCATGGATTGTTCATATTTTTCCTTCTAAACCCCTCCACCCCATCTAAAAGAAGAACACTGTTTACTGTCTTTCTCTCTGTCACTGTGCAGTCAAGTAGGTCAATTTATGTTTTTGAGCCCTTGGAACTCTGTTTCTCAGAATAAGAAGAGAGAAGAGATCTGAGGAAATTTATTATTTCCTTCTGTTTCGATTGGTGCTGAAGGGAAAGTTTCCAAATGGAGAAGGGCAACTGGACTTTAGCTCCCTAATTCTTGTCCTTTGAGATTCACCTTCCCTTTCGAGTGCCTTTTAACTTACCATTTCACATTTGACATCATCCGTTAATGTAGTCCAAATGTAGACACAAGATTTTTCCTGGGATTCTTCAAGGCTCAGTTGACATGAAATAGAAATCTTCAAACCTGACTTTACTAAAGGTTTAGGCAAAACAAAAGGAAAATAACGAACTATGTTTATGCGGCTCGTAAGGCTTCCTTTTCAAGAGTCGCTCTCAACCTGACATTGTATAGGGGTTTTGTTGTAGAATCACTGCTCTGAAGCCTGAGCCTCAGAGGTAGACAAGACATTCATCCCCAACCTGTCCAGACCTACTTCAAGGTTTCTTTTTTTCTCTTTTTTTTTGGTGTGAGAAGTTGCCATGTATGATTTTCTCTTTTTTTGGTCTGAGAAATTGCCATGTGTGATTTTTTTCCCCCTGTAGAGACCATCTCCCCTATAAACTGTCTCTCTCTACACACACACACACACACCGTTGTAACATCTATAGAAAATTACATAAGTGGCACATTAATTCAGAAGGCATAGTGATGGTGAGTACAGAGGTGTGCTGTATTCCACTAATTTCAAGTAAATAATTTTTTGTGGTGTTTTACAAGGGATCAACTCTAATCATAGTGTATAAAGCACTTATACTTTTCAGTCTCATTTCATTCTTATAGTTTCTGGTCTTGTTTTAATAAGGTGTTGTCTCAACTTATAGATAAGGAAACAAATTCGAAGGCAGAATGGCTTTCTCAGACTAAAATCCAGAGCTACATCTTGAGGCTAGATCCTGTGTTGCTTATGTTTATTCTAAACATTTAAGAATCTACATTGCTCACAAGATGTCAGGTATTAACAATCTATTTTACACTTCCCCCCAACTTTTCTTTCACAGTTGTTCAAGGGATGAAGGAAGCTCAGGTACGACTGACAGGTGATGCCTTCAGAGAGAAGCATCTTGAAGATGAGTTGTAACGTGGATACCTTCTTTTACCAAAGTTAGTATTATTTAAGGAAAGCTGCAAGAAACGGAATAATGAAACCGTTAAAACAGCCCTTCTGGAAACCTTGCTCTGCTTACACTGGAAGGAGCTCTCACTGCAGGAGAGTTCCGTTAATAAGCTGGTCTCCATGTCTGTGAGTCTAGCAGAGTGTGGCTGACATCCTTCTGCCCCCTCTCCTCAAATGTTGTGTTGTTGAATGTAAAGAACAAACCCTTCTGTCACAAAACTTGAGCTTTAAAAGCCACCTAGAGGTTTATTCCTCACATGTAGGTATTTGAATCTTATTTTTATTTCCTCCTGTGTTACCTTGGTGTTAAACAAAGACCAGTAGCATCTTTTCTAAAATGTTAAAATAGCCAATACCGGGTTTTTGGGTTTTTTTTTTTCTTGTGGGGGGTTGGTTTTTATTTAAAAAAAAAAAAAAATAAAATAAACCAAAAATGGTAACTGTAATAAAATCAATGATTCTACCCCCTACTGAAGATAACTGGCTTGGTTTTTAGCAGGATCTTTCCTCCCACCCTGTTCTTCTCCTGGGAATAATCTTGGGCTCCTTCCTGATATGCCACAACATCCTTCTTCGCCTGCTTAGGCTTCCTGTTTGCACGCATGTGAGTGCAGGAATGACTGTGTGCTCGGACTCAGCCCCAGCTGGAAGCATGCCTTCCCTTTGTTACTGTTGGAGAAACTCAACCTTCCAGCCCTAGTTGGAACCAGTTTTTGTCAAGTCATCAACTGTATTTTTGTACTGGGGTTAAGAAAATATAAATTGTTCCATTAAATTTTAATAAAACTTCTAAAGGAAATATGGTGTGATTGTCTTTTTTGTTATTGGACAATGGAAGGAGGAATGGAGATCACTTCAGGAAGAAAACTAACCTTGAGAGCACAGTCGCCCTGGACTTCTCCCTCTTCTTCACCTCCCACACTCTAATGAGTACCTCAGAGTGCAGCTATTTTACTTTTTGAATACTCTACCTTTCTTGGTCTTCATCATTAGTCCTAAAAAAAGGCTGCAAGACAAAATCATTAGTACAATGGGAAGGCCTTTCCTAGATTATTAATAAAGAGTTTTCATGTCTTGTTGACTCTAGCAGGTTTTCAGAGGCTATAAACTGCATAACAGGCGATTGCCCATTTTTCTCCCTCAACCACTGGTAGATTCAAACTTAATATGTTCAAAGGCGTGTATATGACCTTAGGATTACTTCAGCTTACCCAGGAGTGGTCTTTAAAAATGAAGAATATGACCTGTCACTTCCTTAAAATCTTTCAGTGGTTTTTCTAGCTAGCTTGAGGGTTCTATAGTATTCTTAACAACATATATTTGAGCTTTAGTATGTGCCAGTCGCCTTTCTAAATTGTTCATGTGTTTTATTTCATTTGCCTTTTAGACCTAACAGCCCCTAAAGAACTGTAATTTTCTGTTGTTGTGTATTAGATGCCATTGAGTACAAGTTACAGCAACCCCATAAACAACAGATCAGAACCCTGTCCTATCCCATCCTCATCTCTGACACACCTGAGCCCATTGCTGAAGTCACTGTCAATTCATCTGCCTTTACAAGAATGATGTCTCTTTTCCAGGGAATAGCCTCTCCTAGCAACATGCCCAGAGTAGGTGGGGTGAAGCTTCACCATCTCTACCTCCAAGGAGCACTCTGGCTGCACTTTTTTCCAACACATACTTGCTTGTTAATGGCAGTCTCTGGGATATTCAGTATTCTTATCCAGCAACACAAGTCAAAGATCAGTTCTACTGTCATCCTATTCATTGACTAGCTCTCAGAAACATAGCAAGTCAGGCACACCTTAGTCTTCAAACTGACATCTTTGTTCTTTAGTATTTTGGAGAAGTCCCAGACAGTGGATTTACTTAAAGCAATATGTCTCTTGATCGGATTCCTGGTACCAAGGGAGTTGGTTGTGGATTCAAGTAAGATGAAATAATTGACAATTTGTCTTTTCTCCATCATCTCTGACACGTTGAGCTCATTGCTGAAGTCACAATGTCAATCTATCTCTTTGGGGTTCTTCCTCTCCTCTGTCACTACATCCTTCAAAGCATGATGTCCTTTTCCAAGGAACAGCCTTGCTTAGCTACATGTCCAATATTAAAGACAAAGCTTTGCTCATCTAGATGATAACATAATTATGATAAAAACAAAAGGGGGGAA